ATACATGTTGTCTCTCTCATCTTCTAAGAGGACCGAGAGCCCTCTATCGACACACCACGACATCTATCTTAAAGTTAACTGACTAACGTACTACAAAAATTATTGTCAAAAGAAGATTTGATTGAAGACAGAGACATTTTGTTATTTTACAAAAACTATAATATAAATAACCCAACATCATTAAAGAAACCATCCGATTTGCAATACGGAATTTATTGCAAAAGTTGTGTAAAAAAATTGAGAGGGCAGTACTACATATTATACCAGGCTGGTATAAAAGATGTAAAGCCCATAAAATCTTTATGCTTCACCTTATTGTAAGAACTTTAATCCATAAAAGATGTGGCTTATTAACCTCCAATCGCAACTACCGATCGGTAAAAAAAAAACTAAGTTGGCGATATTAAAACATATATAAGGTTTGTTGTAGATCACAGATAAAAAATATAAAAAAATTAATATGTTTTTTTTTACTTTTTTGCGGTTCCAAGTGCCGTAAATGTATTCGAGGAAAATTCAACCCCAAATCTGTGTCCACATTTAAGTTGTTTATCAGAATATTTTTTTCTTTTTTTGTACTTTAAAGATAATGTCTCGATAAAGAACAAGATCGATAGCTCCCGATGAAAAAAAGGACGTTTATGTATACGTCCGGTACGCTTAGTCTTAAATTCGCCTCTGACGTTAATAGAAGCTTAATAGAAGATATTGAAAATATCAAATTATTAATCTAAAAATATTAATTTATCACATATTCATTGCTTATTCTTTTAAGAATCCAAAAGTATAAATAAAAAAATTGTTGGTGAGAATTCAATCATTAGGCAACTAACATTACATTATTCATTCATAATGATTAGTTACAACAAAATACTCAGTTCGGCAGCACCATACAGGCCATAATATCTCGGATAAGAACCATATTTTACAGAGCGTTGGCAGACTATAATATTTAAAGACAATGATTTTACCTACCGCCACGTAATTTACAGGAAACTGTAAATTTCATTCTTCGACAACACTAGATTTACAAATTTTATAAAAAAAGTTAATTTTTAGCGTTATTTTAACAGAATAAGAAATAGAGCTGTCGAACCCTATATTTTTGTAATTAGAAAAAAGTAATGAATTTAATGAGCGAATAATCAGTCGATTGATTCATCGCTGCCAACTATCAGTTCACAAAAGGTACCAACATCACAACTATTAAATTAAGAGCTATATTTGCATTTAATTTTATGAAATTTAATTAAAAAGTCTTTTAAAGATTCAAATTAAAGCGAGAATATTCGTTGATAATATTTTTTATATTTATATTCAATAAATATCATTCAAATAAGACATCAAAACATAACCTCACATAACCTTAAAATCATGCCACTAATAATAATAACTGGAGTTCCTTCCAGTGGAAAAACAACCAGGACGAATCAATTAAAAGAATATTTTGAAAATGAAGGCAAAGAAGTTCATATAGTAAGTGAATACAAAGAAATTTTAAAAGCAAATTTTACTAAAAAGACATTTTATAATGGTAAGATTCTTCGAGTTTATCACCCAATTCGTTGTAATATTCCAATTTACTTTTAAGATTCTATTAAGGAAAAGCACATAAGAGGACTTTTAAAATCAGAAGCAACTAAATTATTAACCCCAACAAATGTAGTTATTTTAGATGGTTCGAATTATATTAAAGGTTATCGTTACGAGTTGTATTGTGCAACAAAAGCTAATAGATCGACTCAATGCACAATTTTAACACAAATTAATTATGAAGAAGCTTGGAAACAAAACGAAACTCGCACAGATGGTGGAGAAAAATATGACAGAGAAACTTTTGATGCTTTAATTTTAAGATACGAAGAACCTGATAAAAAAAATCGATGGGATTCACCTTTATTCATAGTATTTCCCAGTGATAAAATTAATTTTCAAGAAATCTCAAATAATTTATTTGATAAAGCACCACCACCACCAAATATGTCTACACAGAACGCTCCGTTAAGTTCAACTAATTTTTTATATGAACTAAATAAAACAGTAAAGATAATTACTGATAAAATCATTAAAGATATTCGAAGTGGAGTTAAGGGAGAAATTACTGTACCTGGCGTGGAAGATTTAACTCTAGATATTACCGGAATTGGCATGCAAAAGATTATTAATTTAAATAGGCAATATTTAACTTTTTCTAAAATGCATACACCTGATATTGAAAAAGTTCCACAGTTGTATGTACAATTTTTAAAAGCAAATTTAAATTAATAAAGTTGTATTTATTTTAATTAATCCTTTATTAACTTAATTAACTCTCTTTAGTGGCATTATAGCCTTTGTTTTGTCTTGACCTTCCTCAATTTCTGTCTCTAAAATCAAATGCGGATTAGATTTGCAGTCATATAATTGAAATTTAGAAAAAAGTAACAATAAAATTTTTCTTAAGTGCATCCATGTACTTAGTGGAATTATTCTGTACTATTCACCGATTGAACTGAAAAGTTCTGAGCACAAATATATCGAGTATAGAGTAAATCATAGTTTGTAGTCAAGGTGCACTTTCCTCCCAGTTCAATCTTACTTGAATGACGACATTTAATCATGACGTACGCACTTCATCTATGAAAGATGAAGCTAACAAGAAGAAAATATTCATGCCTACGTCGTCAAATCCGTAAATATCCTGCTGTCAGTGGTGTGACATAGGCTACAACAGTCTTGAACAGGTCTGTAGTGATCATGTAAATGCTATATCATTAGAAACTGGTGATAGATAAATATGAAATCATTGTGGATTATGATTTATTGATGGATTAGGAACATTTTTTTATTCACAACTTCTTTCTCCATCAGTTTGAATACTTACGCTATAATTGATTTTATTAAGAAAAATCCGCCAATTCTGACATATGCGCCATGATTGTTGCATGGTAGGCTTATTGGATATTTTTGAATTAGTAACTGGGTAACAAGGAAGAGAAGAGTTAAATAATCAAGATTAAGAGGATAACAGCTTAATTAACTAACAAATATGTCTTTTAAAAATATTTTTACTGACGTTGCTCCTGAAGATGATTAAATGTATTGATCGAAACCGGTAGAGCTGAAAATTAAAAAAATCCATCTATAAATACACACAGTTTTATTGCATTTACATTAAAATTGAGATGGAAAGAAATAACCAAATAAATATTAATTCTGGATTATGATTAATTGATACATTAGGAACATTTTTTATTCACAACGTCTTTCTCTATCAGTTTTAATATTTACATGTTGTAATTGAAGAAGAAGAAGAAGAAGAAAACAATATTTATTTGGACTTATATAAAAATTATAACAATAAGAAATACGAAAAGAAATACATATATAAAATAAATATAAAGAAAGAGTCCAAAAGGGCTATAGACCTTAGTCTTCCTGCCCGATGTTGTAATTGATTTTATTAAGAAAAATCGTCCAATTTTGACATCTTGGGCATTTATGCTATATCATTAGAAACGGGTGATAGATAAATATAAAATCATTCTGAATTATGATTTAGTGATGCACTAGGAACATTTTTTAATGACGTCTTTCTCCATCAGTTTTAATACTTACGTTATACTGATGTTAAGTACCGTAAAACGAGGTGTATAGGGACTTCCATGTGAATCGGGACAAAGCTTTTTATTTATACAATATATTTTCTCTAAATGTTGCCCTTTATACCTCAGCCGCTTTAAATGAGAATAACGGCCGAATAACATGATCGTCCCTAATCAGCACATTTCCAGGCGAAACGCGACAACGCAGTTTTTTTAAAAAAACTATCATTTAACATTTTTTTTAAATGCCATTATTTGGGTATGAAAAGTACACACCATGTTCGGACTTTTGCCCCACAGAAACTAATATTAAAATAAAAAGTAAAGCCGTAACATCTTCATAAAGTTGGCGTTTTTTAATGACAACCTCTTTCTCCATTAGTTTTAATACTTACGTTATAATTGATGTTATTAAGAAAAATCGTACAATTTTGACATTTTGGGGATTTATGCTATATCATTAGAAACTGGTGATAGATAAATATGAAATCATTCTGGATTATGATTTATTGATGCATTAGGAACATTTTTTATTCACAACATCTTTCTCCATCAGTTTTAATACTTACGTTGTTATAATTGATTTTATTAAGAAAAATCGTCTAATTTTTATATTTCGGGGATTTATGCTATATCATTAGAAATTGGTAATAAATAAATATGAAATCATTGTGGATTATGATTTATTGATGCATTAGGAACATTTTTTATTCACAACCTCTTTCTCCATCAGTTTTAATACTTACGTGATAATTGATGTTATTAAGAAAAATCGTCCAATTTTGACATTTTAGGGATTTATGGTATATCATTAGAAACTGGAGATAGATAAATATGAAATCATTCTGGATTATGATTTATTGATGCATTAGGAACATTTTTTATTCACAACGTCTTTCTCTATCAGTTTTAATACTTACTTTATAATTGATTTTATTAGGAAAAATCGTCTAATCTTAACATTTTGTGGATTTAAGTTATATCATTAGAAACTGGTGATAGATAAATATGAAATCATTCTGAATTATGATTTAGTGATGCACTAGCAACATTTTTTAATGACAACGTCTTTCTCTATCAGTTTTAATACTTACGTTATAATTGATTTTATTAGGAAAAGTCGTCCAATCGTCCAATTTTTATATTTCGGGGATTTTTGCTATATCATTAGAAACAGGTGGGAGATAAATATAAAATCATTCTGGATTATGATTTATTGCTGCGTTGGGAACATTTTTTATTCACAACCTCTTTCTCCATCAGTTTTAATACTAACTTGCTAATTGATTTTATTAAGAAGAATCGTCTAATTTTTATATTTCGGGGATTTATGCTATATCATTAGCAACTGGTGATAGATAAATATGAAATCATTCTGGATTATGATTTATTGATGCATTAGGAACATTTTTTATTCACATCTTTCTCCATCAGTTTTAATACTTACGTTATAATTGATTTTATTAAGAAAAATCGTCAAACTTTAACATTTTGGGGATTTATGCTGTATCATTAGAAACTGGTGATAGATAAGTATGAAATCATTCTGGATTTTGATTTATTGATGCATTAGGAACATTTTTTAGTCACAACCTCTTTCTCCATCAGTTTTAATACTTACGTAATAATTGATTTTATTAAGAAAAATCTTCAAACTTTAACATTTTGGGGATTTATGCTATATCATTAGAAACTGGTGATAGATAAGTATGAAATCATTCTGGATTATGATTTATTGATGCATTAGGAACATTTTTTAGTGACAACGTCTTCCTCTATCAGTTTTAATACTTACATATGTTATAATTGATTTTATTTAGAAAAATCGTCCAATTTTAACATTTTGGGGATTTATGCTATATTATTAGAAACTGGTGATCGATAAATAGGAAATCATTCTGAATTTTGATTTATTAATGCATTAGGAGCATTTTTTACTCACAACCTCTTTCTCCATCAGTTTTAATACTTACGTGATAATTGATGTTATTAAGAAAAATCGTCCAATTTTGACATTTTAGGGATTTATGGTATATCATTAGAAACTGGTGATAGATAAATATGAAATCATTCTGGATTATGATTTATTGATGCATTAGGAACACTTTTTATTCACAGCGTCTTTCTCCATTAGTTTTAATACTTACGTTATAATTGATTTTATTAAGAAAAATCGTCTAATTTTTATATTTCGGGGATTTATGCTATACCATTAGAAACTGGTGATAGATAAATATGAAATCATTCTGAATTATGATGTATTGATGCATTGGGAACATTTTTTATTCACAACGTCTTTCTCCATCAATTTTAATACTTACGTTATAACCGATTTCATTAAGAAAATCGTCTAATTTTAACATTTTGGGGATTTATGCTATATCATTAGAAACTGGTGATGGATAAATATGAAATCATTCTGGATTATGATTTATTGATGCATTAGGAACATTTTTTATTCACAACGTCTTTCTCCATCAGTTTTAATACTTACGTTATAATTGATGTTATTAAGAAAAATCGTCCAATTTTGACATTTTGGGGATTTATGCTATATCATTAGAAACTGGTGAGAGATAAATATAAAATCATTCTGGATTATGATTTATTGATGCATTACGAATATTTTTTATTCACAATATCTTTCTCCATCAGTTTTAATACTTACGTTATAACTACCGATGTTAAGTATTAAGAAAAATCATCCAATTTTGGCTATTTGGGGAATTATGCTATATCATTAGAAACTGGTGATAGATAAATATGAAATCATTCTGAATTATGATGTATTGATGCATTGGGAACATTTTTTATTCATAATGCCTTTCTCCATCCGTTTTAATACGTACGTTATAATTGATTTTATTAAGAAAAATCGTCCAATTTTAACATTTTGGGGATTTATGCTATAGCATCAGAAACTGGTGATATATAAATACAAAATCATTCTGGATTATGATTTCTTGATGCATTAGGAACATTTTTTATTTACAACGTCTTTCTCCTTCAGCTTTAATACTTACTTTATAATTGATTTTATTAAGAAAAATCGTGCAATTTTAACGTTTTGCAGATTTATGCTATATCGCTAGAAACTGATGATAGATAAATATAAACTTATTCTGGATTATGATTTATTGATGCATTATGAACATTTTTTATTCACAACTTCTTTCTCCATCAGTTTTAATACTTCCGTTATAATTCATTTTATTAAGAAAAATCGTCAAATTTTAATATTTTGGAGATTTATGCTATATCATTAGGAACAAAAGAACAGTTGTATAGGAGACTGGGGGAATGGCATTCGCCTAAGCCAATTTGCTAATGAATTCTACAAATTAAGAGATTTCTCATCTTTTTTCAGCGTAGGATGATCACTAGTAATCTTTTTCCTTCAACTCTATTTGTTTTTCAAGCATAAAACTTGTTTCGTTAGAGTTTCGCTCATCTTCATTTTCACTCATTTGTGAACAATTATCATCATCAGAGATGTCTTGTCAGATTTTTTTTAGATCTACATTTTACTCTAACGATGAATCTTCACAATTTATGTACTGCTTTTTGGAACCGCGGATCTTTTTGCTAAATGAATCCCTAGTGATTTCAGTCAGTATTCTTCTTTTTGCAATAGCTTGTGTTTTTAATCTTTGTTGACTTCTACCCTGAATCCGTTAATATAACTGAATGTTGTTTTTTTT